ACTCGACTCCTCCTCCTTCCTTGGCTCCTTATCCCACAACAAGCTATCCACCACCACCGCATAATTACCCTTCTTACCCTCCAAATCCCTCCGGACACCCCCCACCGCCTTATCACCCGCCCGCTTATCCTTATCCTCCCACCTCATCCTATCCCCCAAACACACCTTATCCCCCAACCTCAGCGTATCCTCCAAACACAGCTTATCCCCCGCCTCCCCACGACCATTCCTATTATCCTCGAGGTCAGATATCTTGCATCCCTATTGAAGTTTTATTTATATATCTTTTAAAACATTTTCTTGCAACCTATGTTTTACGTGTTTTTTTACTTTGCAACCTTACAGTATTGTTCTCGGTAAAATGTAACTTGAAATTAATGAACACACGTAATTTTGCAACATCTCCTAGATCACGTACGTGTGTCGATTTTTGCGGATGATTGTATGGTCAAAATGTAGGAAATGCTACAAATTATGAATGTTCATGAAGTATAGGTTGCAATTTACCAAGAAAAATTATTATAGGTTAGGCAAAGTCCAAAAACACGCACAATACAGTATAGGTACAATGTTTTACCGTTAATGATTGAAATTTTATTGCGTTGTAGGAGGTTCATTTCCTACGGCACCTTATCCTCCACCATACTGAGACGTACTTTCTTTGTCACGGTTCACAAAGCGTTACTTCCTCCTGAACATGTATCGTACTTTGGTAACTGCATTCAACTAGACGAGAGTTTCTNTTTTGTGAAGATTTGCTTGCCTAGTGTGGGTGAAAAAAAGTGTTGATAAGTGAAAAGGAGCAAAATGATTGTGTTTTCATCATTTGATGGGCGAGTGGTTCACAATTCAAATATCTTCCTATTGTCTTTTGCATTATTTTGTTATGATTTGTGTTTGTGTTTCTAAATGGGATCCATTCAACGTGTGTTGAATAAATGGATAGAGTTGTGACATGATTAGACTAGTCAACTATAGTGCACATTCTTTTTTCCTTTGACCTCGTGATGGATTCATCATCTCAATAAGACTTTGGTGCATAAGATTATTGTATAAATTATTTATTTTGACATTTTTATTGATATTCATAGAATAGTTTATAAATATTTTTTTTGAAGATTTTATAACTAATTATTCTATTTTCCAATTGACCACCCATTGAGGGTTGAAACATAGGTTCCACTCAACAATTTTTCTTTCTTTCTTTCGGCAAAGAACAACTTATAGTTGGTTTCTTTTGCTGGGCACCCCAGTGAACGCAATCATTATTAAAAACTGATTCTTTATTATCTCTTAATTGGGCCCTCATTAAAGGGTAAATTGTGTGAATGAAGTGATGGTTTTTTATGTTGAGAAATTTGCTTGTTGCCAGCAGCGTTTATGGATTTATATAAATTCGCGTTAGACGATTTTTTTTTCCCTTTTGATTTGTATCCCTTAATTTTTGGTAATTGATGAATTATTTTTTTTTTCTAAGTGCTTTTTGGCTGCAAATAATTTATGTCATCTTAATATTCTCTAGTTGAAATTAGGAAAGAAACTATTGTTTTATGGAGAGAAAATGTCGAATCCATGTGATCTTATAGTAAATTATAATATATATGTCTAGTGGTGTATTAATTCAACTTTCAACCCTCCATAAGAAAAAAAAAAAAATGTATTGGAACATGGATATGTGACATTGAAAACCAAAAACCATTCTACACACAAAATTTGTACAATATTATTTACTCAATCACATATTATTATGACCTCGATAATGAAATTGTATGGCGTATTTTATATTTTTATTAAAATGAATTGGTTTTCAATTATCAGTTGAATTCATGCTACCTATAGAGTAGTGCCCCATGGGATTTTTAACCATAAATTTCACACACCCATGTGAGCGTGCGTGTGGTTAAAAACTCCATGAGTCACTTTCCCCATGGATAGCATCAACACTACCTCAATTGTCGTGTTTCAAATAAGAGAATTGATATTAGACAAGTGTCTCGCCTTAATTTGTCAATACATTTTTTCAATCCAGTAGTATTTTAAAAACATGTACAAATTAACATCTTAAGAATATTTTTCGTTTAGAAATTATGATAAGGTCGATTACACTGAATCACAACATTATTTGTTTGATAATAATAGATTTATATCATTAATGTATATTAAGGAGAATATATTAGTAGTAATAGATGTGACGAGGCACTCTTATTTGGATTGAAGGTAGGAAAATGAGCCAAAATTTGATCTATTTATAGGTGTGACTGTGAAATGGTTCCTATCATTTCTAATCAGTGTCATATTTAAATAGGTTTGAGTAAAGGATTCATGTGCTAATTCACTCATCTGCCATATGGTTTCTTCATATATTGTGGCGACAGACCACAGGCAAAAAAATAAAACTAAAATAAAAATTGTGACTAACAGTTAGGCGTATAGCCTTACTTTTAAACAATACTGCACACCATGCTCAAAAGTCAAATCAAGTTTTCTACCATATAAATTATAATAATGAACTACTTTCGAACTCGGAATATGAAATGGAACACTTACTTTGGAGCAGAGGAACCCACGCAATGCAAATACCATCATTTAGGTCCGATAAAGCCGATAAATCGATCTTTTTTTTTTTTCCCCTTTTTGTCTAATTCTAAATATGGCAATACAAGATGACTTGTGGCCTTCCGTACCAACTAAACAGAACTACAATCAAGGATCAAGCACAACACGTACTGAAATGAGCTTGACACATACTTCCATGTCCCAAACAGTAAAACTATTAGTCTCACGGCACTGCAAGAATAAGAGAGAGAGAGAGAGAGAGAGAGAGGCCAACGAAGATCATAAACTTTATTCTTAATTTAGCTAATCATCATCACATTACCATTTGATTGAGAGGAAAGGTCTTGAAGCAACATGCTCTTCTATCATATGCCCGAACATCGAACTTCATTTTCTGCACCAATTTTCACCAATCAAATGGATATCGAATACCAGGTCAGCATTTATTATACAACTAAACGAGAGCAAAGGAAACATGGTCCTGCACCGTTAATCGGTTACCAATGCCTTGCTGGAAGAAAAATGAAGAAGAGTGTGTATACTTGTGGTTTATGTGTATGGTTAATCATTAAACATTTCATTTCAATTTGGATTATGAATTGCTTACACGTTAATGAGTGCCATTGATGAGGATGCATCTGATGGGGGATCCCTCAGCACCAATCAATCTCAAAGGCAGACAATGCACGTTATATATTCCGACTGGAACACCATCAAGTTTGAGTCCCTCAACTAGGATAATTTCCTGAAATATTTCATCAATCGTTGTTCATTGTAGCATTTTCAGTAGGCAATTCTAGAAAAAAAAAAATTAATTCCAGATTACCGAATATGTGCTAAACAAATGTAGAAATTGAGCAACAAAAAACTAGTGTAGTTGCAGAGATTAAAAAGTTATACGAGAATATTAAGTTGTACCTTGCTTTTGAGAAAAACAAGATGAGAAGGAATTAAATCATCAAAAGCAGCAACAGACAAGTAGTCAAGTCCTGCAAAAAAGATGTAAAAGAAAAAAATGTGTGGAATTCAAGTACAAACATAAGAAAGGCTGATATCTTTAAATAATAGTTAGATTTTTTTGAACTCATCACTCCCATACAAAGAACAACTTTTCCTTTATCAACAAAGCAATTTGACAAGGAGAAAAATATCTCAAATAGTATTTGAGACTTACCCACAAGTTTGATGTCAGTGTTGTCCACAAGCCACTGTGCCCCGTCTTTCATGAAGCCCACATAACTGGTGTCGAATGCCTTTCTATACATGAGTCCCCTGAAAATAATTGTGGAATATCCCCAATATGAAAATCTCTCATAGAAACCATGGGTTGTTAGAGATAAAAAAAGGGAGGTGGGAACAATATTACAGTCGGAGCTTATAGTGTATCGGGCTTAAACTGGTTCAACCGCAATCGTGTTAATCTACAGAAGAAAGGTGCCTGAAAGCAACTGTCATGTTGCTAATATTCTGCTCACGTTTTGTTTGATTTGAAGATAAAAGCATTATTCATTTTAGGCCATCACATCTTTTAATACAGCAAGCCTTAGTCTCATAAATGACCATCAACTTAACAAAATTTATTTCGATGCAAGTAAAATGATTCATAAGCATCCCATCTCAGCTTCTGGTGCAGGCACTTGGGCAAAACATATAAATAAAGCATTATCTATAGATTTGAAATATTCCACTGCTTGATTTTTAGAATTTCACCACTATTTTGAGCTAACACTCAAGAATCACAGTAACTCAGTCAGTAGCTGTAACAGCACTAATATCATGTGGCACGATCAGTTATAAATCCAAGCTATACCATGATTTACTGTCGATACAATCACCTGTCTGTATTAAGTGTTCTGAATAGTACTCTTTTTACTCCCTTAGGAATGTTTAAGGACTCCATAACTTCGGCTGCAAACACAAAGAAAATGAAAGAGAGGACGAGTGGACATTAGTAAAAACAGAAGTTAAAAGCACACCACAAACACCTTCCCATTTCACGACATGTAAGATCTAACCACATACTCACTAAGCTAAGTGCTAACTGGAACTAATGTTTAACATGAAAAAACAAGATGGACAAGTTTCAAGTGCACAATCAAATTTTGACTTACTACTATATGGAGTTCATATATGCATTATTTTCAGACTTATTCGCAGGTAATGGCACATTTTTTGATCATTTACACTAGAAGGTACTTAATGTCTAATTGCCTTGTATGTTTGGATTTTGGAAAAACGTCTATGATTGTATAATGTCAACAAAAGCCTCGTCTTACTTTTCAAAACATAGAATAGATCATTAACAAACCAGCTAGTATAGGTTATATTATTATGGGGTTTCTAGTTACTAAATGCATATCATTTAGTGATTTAGTCGAAACACTGAAAAAAAATATCATTCAGTTATATGGAAGATTTTGTTTTAATGCATACCTGTAATATTTTTGTCTCTTGGAACATCAACAAGTAATGCAGGACCTGCTCAACGAAGAAAAAAAATCGTACATCCGTTAAACAAACCAACAAGGTTAATAACTCCTCAACGTAAAGACTCTGCGAAGATTATATCCAGGATAATGGCAAGTGACACAGTAGGGAAACACTAAGAAAATACAACAGAAACTCAAGTAAATCCAAGAAGATCATTACTAAAATCTTCAGTCAAGCAGAAGCTCGCATGAAACTTCTAGGTAACAAGAGCAAAGCTGTAAATGTTAGTAAGAAGAAGTGTAAGGATATCTTAGCAACAATGGTGACCTAATCAGAGGAAAGAAAAATGTACAGATGGAATGGATCAGAATCTAGTATAAGGTTTAAAACTTGTGCAAACAAATTGTTCATCCGAAGTTCAGAGAACTCATCGGGTAGCAACCATTTATGCTCCAAATTTAAATTTATTGTAGAGATTCAAGATGCACATGAAAGAAGAAAACAATCCAAATGAATAGCATTTACTGATTGCCGTGTCCCATACTTTCATCTCCACACCCAGTAAGTTAACATGCTAGTCCAGTATGTGTGTCTGAAGACTTGTCAAAAAATAGTTCAAAGTGCTCTCATAACAGTACACAAAATTACGGCTGGGAGCCCAACATGGGATGCAACAACTACCATTGAGAACTCTGAGGTCAAGACTATCCACATCACACCCTTCATCATAGTAATTGTCATACATATGACCAGGCGCATCCACATGTGTTCCAGAATGAACAGGTATTTTCATCTCCGAGAAATTGTAGTCCGAACCATTCTTCATGCTCATCAACAGTGTAAGGAACTGCCCAATACCGTCGGTAGAATCACCCACCGGCGTATGAGGAGTAAACTTATGGGTAATATCAAAGATTTCTTCATTTTCATGAACACCAACACAATCACTCGACCCATCACCATACCCACAAGGGTATGCATAGTTGGACGATGAAGAAAGTGCGGGAATCGTTTGCAGAACAAGACAAATCAGAAAAACTTGCACAGACCTCATTTAGTCCCTCTTATGATGGAAGTTTAAGGAACTTCTCTGTATTATTTAGGATTATTAAAAAGAAGGCCTTGCTTTTGAAATGAAAACTAGAGCTGCAACAAGGCATCAACTACCCACTAAAGATATATACTAAACCATGGAAATTCAATTAAGAACACTAATTTTCAATTAAAGTGAAACTTATCCAAAAGATTCCTCCAAAGAGATGGCTATTTGTCTCTATCCACCGCTTGGACCGAGTAGAAAGAAGACAAGCCTACACTTGACCAATTGAGACAGAGTTCAGTAAGACAAAACACGACCATAAAAAAATCAATGGGGAGAGAGTAATTTCACCCTTTGATCAACACACACACACACACCGTTGATCCAACGGTGAAGAAAGGTCGATGACGACCTGCAAATTGTGTGTAGGGTCAAACCTACCCAAGAGCTCAATAACACATATATCATTTAGTTATGCACAGATTGGAACAAGGAGCCATAAAAGCAGCTAAGATATCAAAGTCAACTTCACTAGGGAAACTGAAGCGAAAAACCCAATTTCGGGCGTAAAAAGTTCGACCGATTGAGTCCCTACCGTTGAGGACTTCGAGGTCGAGCGAGTCAACATCGAAGCCGGAGCGAAAGTAGTGGTCGTACACGTGCCCCGGCGCGTCCACGTGCGTGCCCGTGTGGGCTCCCATCTTCATCTCCGAGAAGTTGGCCACCGAGCCGTTCTTCATGCTCCGGGAGAGCCACAGGAATTGACCGACGCCTTCGTCGGACTCCCACGCCGGCATATCCTCGTGGTATCGGTGGGTGATGTCGATGATGCGGCCGGCGCCGCGCGCATCACGGCTTGCGGCGGAAGCGAGACCGTCGGCCGCGGCGGCGGAGGCGGAGGCTTTGGTGCAGGACTCGTCAAGGCCGTACGGCGGAGGGTATGCCGGGTCGGGAGTGGGGATGGCGGCGTACAGGAGCATCGCGTGCGCCACCGCGCATGTTAGCAGGAAGGAGTGAAGGAGCACGAGTATCATGGGGCGAAATTTCGCGGGGAGAATTATTATTGTTAAATTAAATTTAAAGTGACAAAAATGAAGTTTTGCAAAGATGGGGTTAATTATTAGTAGTCTTCTTTTTCTTTTATACTAAAGTAGGCTCTACTCATGGAATTTTGTTCAAAGTTGATGGGATAAAGTTTTTGACTTTGAGTGACAATTTTTTTAATCAGGTGAAAAAAACCAAGTTTGATACTACAACGTAAATAATTTATTGGGATAAAGTTTTTGACTTTGAGTAACAATTTTGATACTTTAACGTGAATAATTTATTTATTCTTTTCATAGTCACCATACTTTTTGTAATGTGCCGCTTTTGTAATTTGTTTGAATAGTACAGATTGTTATTTGCACAAATGTTATTTTATTTATATTGCAAATAGGTCCCAATTTTTTACCCATATTTTTTTATAGCACTTTGTACATGAATGTATAACTCTATTGTTTAATATTATATCTTTGTTTCTCCATATTTTTAAAAAATAAATATATTTCTATTACGGCCTGCCAAAATATATATGAAATACAGAAGTAAAATAAAATTAGTTTAATGTAAAACTAATAATATTAAGTATATTTATTATGCAAGTTAGGTATTTGTAAAATAAAAACGATGGTTACTATGTTTTTTTCTAAACAAGTAATTGAAGTGATTTATGAGAAAAAAGGAAAATGAAAAATTGAGTGAAACTCCTTATTCAGTTAACAAGTATTATTCGGTTGAATTGAAACTCTTTTTGTACATAGAAATGTTTGGGCTTAAAGAAGTAGAACGTTTGGGCCCAAAAAGGACATTGTAAATGGGTTGGGTCATGCAACACGATTTAATAGAATACTTGATTAGGTGGTAACTGATACTCTCTTGTGTGATATACTGATATATGCTGTTAACCATATTTATATACATATAATTATCCAACAGCTATTAACCTACCACTAAATGATATGTATTACGTACACTCACATATATTTTTTATTCGAAATGATATTATTAATTTGAAAAAATCAAATCTGGACAACGTTGCATGTCCCACTAGGTTATGTTTTCCAAAAATCTGTGGACAATATAAGAAGTTGAACAATGTACACTTGAAAATATCTTATATATATAATTATATATATATATTGTATGAGAGGGTTTAAATTTTAGAATCACTTTGTGACGGGAACTTTTCTTTTTTTTCAAACATCAAATATTATATAACAAACTTATATATATAATTTGTTACCTATTTTCACATAGCTCTTTAAATAGAAATAAATTTTTAAAATCTCGTGCTTTAGTTATAGAAATTAGAGAATGTATCATAATTATAAAGTATGGCACATCGTAAGTCGTTACATTTTTAAAAAAATATATCTTTACCATTAAATATTATCATTTTTATTAAAATATGTTCAAATATTTACACATCCTGGTTTTGATAAGGACACTTGCTTCCAAATTCCAAGTGCAAGTTTTAAAAAGAAATGTCCTTCACAGTTACACCACAACATATTGTTGTCCTGCAATTTAAGTTAAAAGGGATCTCACATTTTTCTTTTATCTACTTTGGAAGAAAGAAGGTTTTAAAAGTAAGGACGTGTAGATTCTTTTTCTTTCCGTTGACTGATAGTAATGTGTGGTAGAATCATATACTTTATTTGTAGTTATGAAAACGAATAGCTGAAATCATAAGTATATGCTTTGGGAATATATACAATAACACCTCAAATGTATAGATTTAAGCATATTTCCACTTTTGAATGTGTAAGAAAAGGAAATTAATGAAGGACATAAAACACTTGAAATGTATATTAGTCTCTTTATTGCCAAGAGATAAAAAGATTTGAGATAGATTGCACCGACTACACAAAGGTTATATACTTAATTAGAAATATTTAACTTAGAAAGCTTTGTAACTAGTAAACTTTCCCTACTTTGCCAAATTTCATTTATATATATGAAAGAGGAAGTAAACAAAGAAGGTATGGTGCCTATGAAGCATTGTTTTGAGATTTGACATATCAAATTGGAGTCAAACCTCGATTTGAATCACTCAATAAATAAACAAATCATAATGATACGTCCCATCTTTATAAATATAATACTTTAAATAAATATATATTTGATGTGCAAATTAGTCCGGACCGATTAATAAACCGATGACATCATAAATGTCTTCCAACTCAAGCTCTGATGACCTGCAAAATACGCTGGAAAGAGTCCTGACGGTAATCTTCCGACATTTAAGTTAGAATTTGACCGTGAATCGTTATCAACTTATAGAGTATGTAATATGCAATGATGTATAAAAAAAATCTGGTAACCTCATTTTATATGGAGGTTATTTTATGGTCCACTCAACCTTATTAATAGGAAAAAGATCTTACCCTATCTCGTTTCTTAGCGGAACACGTCTCTAATGTCTTCTACTCTTACCATGTGAATAGGATTTTGTTTACTTGCCCAATAGGACATTGCATATCCCTAGGGCGGCACATCGTCCTCATGACCCTACAAACTTTTATTTTATTAGGTCGTTGAAGCGACTTCGTGACCCCTCTCTAATCGAGCTCATATATGAGCCCTGACCGACCAGCCATTGACTGGAGTTGACTAGTACTTCGAGATGTCATACCAAACTGTTTGACATAGTCGGACTCTACCATCAAGCTAGAAAGTAGAAACTATCTCTGACTTGTGCTAGTAGTTATAATCAATCCACCACGAATTAATATGAGTACTGTATCAATATTAAGTTTATTTGTATAATCAAATAATAAAATTATGCTCCGTAACTTATAAGAATATTATAATAAGCCTTATCGAGTTATTCAACTTTACTCATCTTCTTTCACCGTCACAGTTCCTACCACCGACAAGTATATTGTTTGTCTCACTATATAATACTTAACTCATAAAAGTATTTGGCTATTTGGAGTTATTGAAAAAATATAGTAATCAACCATTAGACAAGCCAACAAAGCAACTTTTAAGTTGACTTCCGTAAGACTTCTATTATGTTGATCTAATGATGATTGCTAATTTTGTACGCACGGTTTCAAATTGAATGCTTTTAGGTTGAATGTATAATTAGACGGCTCATATAACAATTTGTGACATGTCACTTGGTGAATAAAACAATAAATACAATAACTATAGAAATACCAAAATTAGTTATAAATAATTAAACGAAACTCATTGGTTGGTGCGTTACTGCTGTGTCCAACTAAGGCACAACAGACATATAAAAATGATGAAAACAGAAAAGCCCCCCACACACCCATCCATCCAGGGACCCAACCAGTCAAAATATTCACACCTAAAAAATTATATATAAACGCTAAACTCTAAAACAAATTCAAAACACACACACACACACACCAAAATCAACCACAATAACAATAAATCAATAATATTACTCAAATTGTTTTTGTTCACTTTCTTTTATTTCTGACTGATTTTTCCACACCATGCCCCAACCCAAACCCACCGCCACCGCCGCCGCCGTCCTCCTCCTTTTCCTGACCCTCGCCGCCCTCTCCCCATGCCGTGCCCTCTCCACCGCCGCCGCCTCCGTCGACGCCGCCGGCCTCCGCGCGTTCAAGTCCGCCGTCCGGCCATCCTCCATCCCGCCCACCTCCTGCCTCGCCACATGGGACTTCGCCGCCGCCGACCCCTGTGCCGCCCCCCGTGTCGCCCACTTCACGTGCGGCGTCACGTGCGCCGCCGGCCGCGTCGTCCAGCTCACCCTCGACTCGCAGGGCTATGTCGGAACCCTAACCCCGCTCATTTCCAAACTCACCGCCCTAATTGACCTTGACATCGGTGCCAATGGCTTCTACGGCCCGATCCCCGCCACCATCTCGGCCCTCCCCAACCTCCGGAGCCTCATACTCCGAGTCAATTCCTTCTCCGGCTCCGTGCCGCCGTCGATCGGCCGCCTCCGCTCGCTGGCCACCCTCGACTTTTCCCACAACTCGCTCTCCGGCAACCTGCCGGACATGAGCGGGCTCTCGGGCCTGACCCGGCTCGACCTCAGCTACAACAAACTCACCGGACCGCTCCGCGGCCTCCCGCCGAACCTTAACGAGCTGGCCCTGAAGTCCAACTCGCTCTCCGGCCCGCTCGGACGGAACGAGTTCGCCGGGTTGACCCGGCTCGTGGTTGCCGAACTCAGCGAGAACTCGCTCGCCGGGGAAGTGGGGTCATGGTTCTTCCTACTTCCCGCCCTGCAGCAAGCCGATCTGGCCAGGAACAGGTTCACGGCGATCAACGTCGCGAGGCCGCCGCCGGCGACGGCGAGCGAGCTCGTGGCCGTCGATCTGAGCTACAACCGTATCGACGGGCTCCTGCCGGAGAACTTCTCGGAGTACCCGGCGCTGCGGTCGCTGTCGCTCAGGTACAACCGGCTACGGGGGCCGATTCCACGGCGGTATGGCGGGAGAGGGTCGCCCCTGCGGCGGCTGTACCTCGACGGGAACTACCTGAACGGGTCGCCGCCGGAGGGGTTTTTCTCCGGCGGGGGACCGGTTTCCGGAAGCCTGGGGGACAACTGCCTGGAGAAGTGTCCAGCGAGGTCGGGGCTCTGCCTGAAATCGCAGAAACCGGCGTCGATTTGCCGGCAAGCCTACGGTGGGAAGCCAATGTCTTGAGTTTGTCAATAATATTTTTTTTTTTGTTTATTTTTTTTGGTTCACTGATTGCGACATTTTTTTTAATTTATTTTTTTCCCACTTTCATTCGGATAATATGTAAGTACGTGTATTTTTATTTATTTATATTTAGTAAGTCTCGGCAGGATCGAAGTCTGTCTTAATAAAGGGATTAATAGTTGTATTTTGGTAGACTTTTGGCATGCTTATATTTCATTCAATAATACACCCCTTGTGTGTGTGTGTGGATTTTAATTTTTTTTTCATAAAAAAATCTTATTTAAAAGCACATACACCTAGGGTTGTCCATCGGTCGGTTCGATTGAACCGAACGACCGAAATGTCAAAATCGAAGTAATTGAGTCGAACTTTTACAAACACCAAATCGATCGAATTTTTGTTCAAAATTGAACTGAAATCGAACTGAAGTAATCGATCTAATTGACCGATTAACTGAAAATCATCAAAATAAGTAAAATTTATAATATAAAAAATATATATGTATTTTAATATTTTTTATTTAATATTCTATATTATTTTTGCTAAAAATAATATATATATATATATATATATATAAATTTGTAAAAATAATATTTTTATATAGTTCAGTTATTAAGGTTTGTTGATCAATGAATTTGATCAACCTAAATTATGAAATTTAGTACGAATTATCGATGATTAGGGTAGAAAGAATTGGATTCAAATAGAGAATTTGTATAAAGTGGTTTTGTGGAGGTCGGATTCTCCGGCCATTTTATGTCAGGTTCCGTCTTTAATGTTTTATTAAATGAGAGAATGTTTATGTTGCAGTAAATTTTCTTAATCGATCAGAATTTGGAATCCCATTAAAGTGGATTCCTAGGACTAAAGGCGTGCCCGATTACTATTCATCAGGTACCACCAATTTAATGTTGATTGATTGACATTTAAGGCTAGCATATTACGTTAAGGGTCTAGGGGGCATAGGTCTGCAGTGGCGACGTACCCATCCCATTGGCCACCATTTGGCTGCAAGTTGGGTTATTATAATATTTTCTTACTTCTAAATGCTCTAGTGACTTCGACCTTGGTAAGACTTTAAGGTTGGATCGTCGGCAACAATCTTTTTTCAACTATCCTCTGTATCCACGGGGCCGACCTGGACTTATTGAACGGGAGACATGACCTGAATTTCCGTCGTTTGGATGACCAATTTTCCCGACTCCCGATACAGTAGGGTGTCAAAGATTGGGGGTTCGTTGTTCGGTCTTTGACGTCCTATTGTCTAAAAAAGGGAAACTAGCATGAGATTCGACTTTTCGTGGGAGCCCTTTGGTAGACCCAAGTATGGATTAATTTCGGAATTCCTCGTTTTCCAACTCAAATATCAACAATACCATATATTGATTAATTTATTTCTAGATATAGTAAATTGATTATTTATTTATTTATTTTGTGCAGAAAACAGTTACTATTTAAAAAAATCGTACTTTTTTATATGTATATAGATTCAATATTTTTATTTATATATATTTTTTTCCTAAATAGTAGTTTAATATGAAAATATGCACCAAAATGGTATTATAGAATTTTTTTAGAAACATTTACTTTTTCAAAAAAAGTAGATCTTTCTATCATATACTCCAAAATGAGTTTTTCTATAGCAATTTGGTGTTTTGTTTTATTTGGACAAATGACACTCATGCAATGGTAATGTCATATTTGTAAACATATTGACATACTTCTATAAATGTTACTATAGTATACATGTATGTATATAAACTATTGAGTAATCAAGAATCTTTAAGTTTGTGCACCTCTGCAAATTGCTTTCTTATATTCCTTCAAGAAAAGTGAGGTTGGTAAGATGCTAAAAACAGACAAGCTGCAGCTAGTCAAGTGATTATTTAAAACCAATTCAAATTTGCTCTGGAAAATTTATGTATTATTTTCTTTCTCATCATCAGAACACTAAAAGGAAATAAATAAAAATGAACCATATTATAAATTAAACTAACCAACCACTCTCATGTCAGACCAGTTGAATGTTTGACACTATGCCACCCAAATTCAACACCACTATTTTATTTTATCTATTTGTTTTAATTTGGTTGTACAAGTTTGCATGCTGGTTTAAAATTTATAATTAATTTGGTTATAAAATTTAAAATTTATAACAACTAGCATATACAATACACAAAATTAGGACCAATTAAGTAACTGGTCTTGGAGTAAGAAATCGATTCGTGTACAAACTCATAGCATGATTTATAAGATGAGAGTAAAGTTATTAATGATTAAATAATCCTACTTCTTGAAAAAAAAATAAATATATTCTTTTAAATTAAAATGTGAAAAATAATATAAATAAAAATACGATATTTCATGTTATAAATATATATTTTTATTAAAAAAATACATCGAGGTCAACTCATTAAAGTGGATACTGATTTGTTATAGATTCCAATCATCACAAATGTTAGGTAAGGTTGGCTGTTGGGCTTAAATTAACTCGTTTGGTATGAGGGATTTCTCACACAACTGAAACAAACATATATATCCTTTAATTTATAGATATGCCAGCACATGCCTATGTCTTCTGTTCATGTTGGTGTATATTAATTAATCGATTTTGCTATGAAGTCAACAGTTGACTCCACAGTGGAGCCAATCTTGAAATAAACTTATCATATTAATAAAATTATATTAGTGTTATTTAAGTAATCAGAGAATATGATAAATTTATTTGTTGTATATAAAAGGTTGGCTCCACTATGGCAAAACCGATTAATTAATATACTCCTTTAAACAATCAATGTCGACTAATACAAAATTTCATAATACAAATAAAATACAAAACTCTTTCTCGTATATTGAAATTTCCTGCTTGGAAGATGAACTTATAAGACAAGGAAAATTATAATTTTCTATTTATTACATCAATGTTTGAAAATCAACCCAAGACAAAGTTGATAATCACCATCTTATAGGTTTGTGCACAATCATTTCATGCAAGAGTTTCACACAACTTTATGGTACTTTCTCTTAAAAATAATTATAATCCACTGTGACTTTTCAAAATAATTCTATATATTTAGTATTTACACTCTTCAACAAAATATAACTTTTCGTATTATTAAAAAAAAACATTTAGTAGACTTAAAACATGACCATTTGTAAATGGTCAAAAGGCTGATCGTTTAAAAATAAGACCACATATACCAACAATTATAATTTTTGTTGAAAATTTCAAACAATAGATAAGAAGCTAGATTTATCTAATTTTTTGGTCTAGTATATTAAACTCAGTACTCCTCCGTCTCCGATAGATCTACTTCATAATTAATATTTTCAAGTCCTAAATACAACTTAAAAAATTAATTTTAATATATTATTTTAAATTTAATTTCATGTTGAATTTTAGTTAGAATTCGATGATTACAATGGTTATTTTTTCAACGTTTCATTGTTGTAAGTATTTTTGGATCATATTTCAGTTGTTAAGAATTCATTAATTATTGAAACCGTCAAAATCTAAAGAAAAATCAACTAAAAAACTAATTCCAATGGAATACTTGCTTTCCAACGATTTGGTGGGTTTTTGATTTGATTGGCTTTTTAACTATATACTAAATACGTATATTACGAAATATCTTACTTTTTACTACAAAATATTTTTTAAATTTAAGTTAAATTTCCCTAACATCAATCTCACCTACTATAAAACACAAGTAATAGTTAAAATATAACTTTAATTCAAGTATATCAAAATTAAAGTAGTTTAAAAGATTAAAAGCAACATTAAAAGCAACATCAAGCGATCTATACAACCTTAGCTGTAACTACCTAAAAGGGCCTTTAAATGGGATAATACTGCAATCCTAGATAAGATTAGTCCACCTGTAATGTGCAAAACGACACTTGCACACATTTCATGGATCACCTCACTTTAGGCCCAGCCATTTTAATTTTTTTTCAATAATTTTCCATTTTATGCGGCTTCAAAAAGTATATTCTTTTGTCTTTATAATAATTTTTATTAATTATTTCATGTATCTAATGAGGCGAACGAAGTGGGAGCAAATTAAAGAGTAAAAATTTGTTCCTTATTATTTATTTATTTATTTTTTCCTTTTGCAAGATGCAAATTTAAGCGTTGTACAATGTACATTTGTACTTGGAACAGAATTAGAGTTTCAAAACTAGCAATTAAATTTATGCAAGAAAACATATTGCAGTTGCCTTAAGTAACTAACTACCAAATAACTATTGTTTCCAACTTATGAGTGTATTCATTTGGCATTTCGAGTGACATTTTGAGACTTTTGAAATTTGAGATCTTTTAAAATTTTTATATTTAAGTAATATGAAATCATAAGTGTGAAAGTGAAATTTGAAGTGGAATTTAGTATATAGTTTTTTTCTTTTGAAATCTTATCAATTCTTAAAAAGTTTTAACAAAACATAGTCTCAAATAAGTTAAATACTTTAGAATTTTGTAAGACTTTTTAAAATCTCAAATGAATAACTTGAGACCTATAAAAGTATTAAAATATTCTAAATTAAATATACCAGAATTTGGTAAGACTATTAGGTATTCTTAAACAAATACCCAATAATCGCTAGTGTCATGATTTCTACGATATATNCAAAAACCAAAAAAAAAAATAAAAAATGATGAACAAGCATATATCTCTAAAGGACAAAGAAAAAAGCTACAACCATTTTCACAAGCCATCTACCCTTTTCTTGACATAACAAAACCTAATGAATCACCCATAAGAAGTAATCAAGCAACACTACAAATATACAAAAATAAAATCAAGAGGGCCAAAATTAAATCATCAAACACCAATTCATGCACCACCACATATAAATAAACATATAATGTATGTATTAAAATACCATTGAGAAAATCAATTCAATTCCAAGAGCACATATACATTTATGCATTCATGAAAAAAAAGAAATCAAGAACCCACCCCCCATTAAAAATTTGTTCATATTATTACCGGTCGTCCCCGTCCGGCCCATCCTTTCCGGTGGCCGCCCTTAGATACCTACTAATGTTGAAATCCGGCGGCATGAAAAGCTTTTGCCTCTCCCACCGGCCTTTATCTGCCCGATAGAGAGACGGGTGATGATTAATGCTCCAAAAACATTTGGTGCATCGAGACCTAACCGTGAAAGCCCAAAAGAAGCCGTGGCTCGACCGGCTCACGTAGAGGTAGCACCACCGCATGGGGAAAGCGGCTTGCCGGAAGTTGAAGCGGTAAGTCGAGTTTTGGGGGAGTTGGTAGAGGGAATCCGAGTGGTCCGTCATTTGGCACATGAACCAAACGGGCCAACGCCCGTCGTTGGCTAACGTGATCTCAATCTCCGGGAAGAGGCCGAGGTTGTCGGAAAGGGCCGGGAGGGGGAGGAGGACGAGCACTGCCGCCGCTACTGCCACCGCCAGGGCGGTGGAGAGCGGCGGGGACCGGTGGCTCGTGGGTCCCATG